TTGAAATTCTGGGTATTGTAGTCCAACAAATTTTATCAGGCTAGCTGAGGCTGTCTAGTACTATTTCCATCCTATTAATCACAGTTTGCTGCAGAGTGGTAGTATGGCATAACATACCATCAACAGGATGGTCTAATAAATTGAAGGACTACTCAAATGTTAAATGCTGTCACAGCTGTTTATGACAAGAGTGTTTGACTTAACACGTTGCAATAAAAATAATGTTTACTATTAGATTGGCATATAGTTTGAAACTAGACATTGCAATTGTAAAACATTATTTAGGATTTATTGTATGTAGCTTGTTCAACAAATTATGGCTATGATTTGTGATTTAGTGTAATGTATAAACCATGGTAGTGTCTGAAGTAAGGGAGACTGAATAGCATTAAAACACTGAACAATATCTATTTTGTTTTCTCAATTATCCAGGATATAATAGAAACATATTTTTCTCCATGAAATTCCTTCAAAAAAAAAATCCAAATATATTTTTGAGTGGGAATGATGAGTGATACAGCAAACATTCTTAAAAAGATTAAAAAGTAATATATTTTATTGTGAAGGAAGAAAACAATGCATGACAAGTTGTAGAAGAAATACAAATATGCTAAGCAACATTAATTAACAATATAGAATTCTTAAAATAGACCATCAAAAGAGAATCCACACATTACACTTCTTTCTTCGTTGAAAAAAATCTGCCTTATTTTTTGTTTGTAATTTTATAATGTACGTATATAAGAGTTGAATAATGAAGTGCTATGTAGAGAATAAGGATTTCTATAAATGTGTGGTCAGAAATAACTGCTGGATCTGGTAGTTTTTAAAATAATAAATGGCCATTAAAATCTTCTCTTTTTGTCTTTAGATTTTGGATATTGATAACTTTCAAGATTGCAAGTTTTCTTCGGTAAAGATTAAAACTTGGTACATGGATGATTTTTCAGTATCACTGTTTGTTATTCCACTCAGTAGAAATGAGTATCTGATTGCTTTTCATTAGTCACATTAAATTAGTGTTCATATACATCATATACTACTTTGTGTGGACACCTCCTGTCTGTTAATGAGCTTTTAAAATGTAAACAAAGTAAGGAATATTGTGATGTCTAAAGTTTCAGGTATCATGGGCTTTCTTCTTAGTTCTTGATTATAGTCCTTGATCAGAAGTGTCTTAAAAGATTAATATAATACTATTGTGACAAAAGTTATTATGTACTTCTGCTTCATTTCTATCAAAAAAAATCAAGAAATCCTCTTAATATGATCACTGAGAGAAATTGGATTTTGTTACCTTTTTTGCTGCACATTTCCTTCTTTTATCATTTGACAAAGGTAGTAGTAACCATTTTTAAGCAATAATGAAATTAAAATTACTGATATTTTCTAATTTATGATGAGCTGTAGGCAATTGTTTTTTGTGTACCACCAGTAGAAGTGGAAAATATTTTTTTCCTGTTGAGGTATATTCATCTAGATGGGTCTCCCTCTGCGATAATGTGTTGAAAGGAACTTGCCAATGGCAACAGGCCAGGCCAGAAACAAAAGAGAATGAGCCGCCACTATTTTTCTCTGTCTCATCTTTCCATCCTGCCTAGTAAATTGCCAAAAGAATGGTAAATTACTTTTACAAGTCATCTCAATTTATAACTTGATTGAAGGCTCTAGCCAAATATACATTTGCATAATAAATATAGGGCAGGCATGAAAGTTTAGATTGCTGTGACCCTAAAATTATATTTGGCTGCCATTTTTTTTAATTTGCAAATTTATTATGTCATAGGTTGTATCATTAAATATCCGTAAACTTGAAAATGATCCCCAAATCCCACTACTATTGTAAGATTGACCTTTCCAATGTGCCCAATACAATCTTTGTGCAAAAAAATTAAAATAAAATCATGCAACCCATACTGTAAATAATTGCTCCATCCCATTTTAGTGAGTAAAAGAAGGGGGAAGTAACATTTAATTTAGTTCTATGTGTTTTCCACACTCTATTCTCATGAAATCCTCTACCTCATTACATCATTATCAGGCAACTGAAATATGTGATCTATTAATATCTGAACAACATCCTTTCACAAACTATTGTTTCTGGATATATTGCAATTTTAACAAGGCTAACAGAGAATTCTGAAAGCCATATCCTATTAAATCAGCATGCAGAAGGCATGAAGAAACAAAGTACTGTAGTTTCTTATTCGGAATAGTCATAAATAAATAAAATGGATGTTGTAATGATTTGTCTATCTTTTCTTTTTGAAAATCTATAGAAACGATAGACAAATTATGAAATATACACCAGGTTACAATATAAATTCTGTCTCTTTCTGCTTATTGTGGTTTTCATACAAGCACATAATGGCAGAGTTTGTCACAGATCATATTCATTTCATCATTTTGACTCAAATCTCCAGTTGCAGATGAATGAGATTGCACAGTAAACTATATATTCCCAGGAACCTAGCAGACGAAGTTCTGTTTTCATTAGATAGAATGCCTACTTAGACATTCAGATTCAGTGTCTTTATCCCAATTATACTTTTTATGAATTGTTACACCACTTTGGTATTACAAAATATACATTATACTACTACCATACAAGCAGTACAACTAGATATTATTTATTATTTTTATGACAGTTGCAAATGACTGATTCTGCTTATTCTATAGTTTTGAGTTACTAGGTGAACCTTGATATTATATTTTTACTTGTTTCAATACTTTAATCTCCAAGCAATGATTTCTGGGTATCTTATTACTGCAATAAACTTTTTATTCTTTAAACTATTTTAGTAGTGTAAGAACAAAAATTATTTTCTTAAAATGGATGAAATTGTGTAAACTTAGAAATAACTCTCCTTTCGTTCTCCACAAGGACTCAATTACTTAAAATTCTAAACTCTTATTTATGTATAGAAGCTTCCAGCATTGACAGAACTAGGCAGCTGCCTCTTTCCCTAGAAGCTCAGATTCTGTTACTATCGATGCCATATTGAACAAAGGAAGATTGGATAATAAAGCCTGATGTGTTCTTGGGGCATGTTTTTAATGGTAAAACTTTTCGTGAAGCAACTCAGTAAAAAGACAATTAAAAAAGCCATGGAAATAAAGAGTCGTTATCAAACTACAGATAGAAGCACTTACAAGGTTCATCACAAGATCTATCACACTACCTAGCAATGAGGTGCTTGTATGATTGGAAGAACATTCTCTTTCCTGGAGTAAAAGAGTAATTTAGTTTCCATGCTCATTTAATTCTGAACCTTCTCTGAACAGAGCACAAGTTGATCTACAACATGTAATAATAGCAATAGCACTTAGGCTTATATACCGCTTCATAGTGCTTTACATCCCTCTCTAAGTGGTTTACAGTCAGCATATTGCCCCCAACAAGCTGGGTCCGTATTTTACTGACATTGGAAGGATGGAAGGCTTGGCAGTGATCAGAGTCAGCCTGCAATAATGCATTATAACCACTGTTACTATAATAATTATTCATATTTTTAATTACAGTTCCTTATTCACTAAGGATTAATTAAGCACTTAACCAATTTCCATTTGTCAGGAAGTTACTTGAAACCCAAGGTGGATGGACTCATTTTTTTCTCTTGCTTAAGCAGAAATATTTGATCAAGAACAGTCTATCATACGGACTCTGTGTACAAATTTATTATTAAAATATAATAAATATTTTTATTTCAGCCTGTAGGCTTTCTCCTTGTCTACTGAAGCCTCATTCAAGCAATGTATTGCTTAACATCTTTGCATAGTACTGGAATAGGAACAGGTGTTTTATGAATTGTGGTATGAAGAACACACTAATTCATTCCTTTTCTCAGTGTGAGAAGATTTCTCTGTAAAAACAATAGCACAAAGAGAAATTAATATCTGCTGCAAGAATGAACTACTCTGACCTGTCCTGAGTATCACAGAAATAACATTTAAAATTCTGAGAAAATATCAATCAAAACATTAACAATTATGAATACAGCATGTACACCAAATTTATTGATACATTTACAAAAATGAAACAATATTCTGTTTATTCTCCAAGAAGCATTTACATTTTAAACCATATTTGGCAATAATATTTTTTGATGTTTTTATACATGTTCTCTTACACAAACGATTTTTTTTAGTTAAAGTGACCAGTCATTGGCAAGGTTTTATTTAGTGTGAATTTTGTAATAACATATGAAGGCCAGTCCTGATACAGTGGCAAGTATTTTATCAGTATTTAAAAGGACCAATTAGTTGGTACTACTACTCTGTGGATTATAAACAAAGAATGGCATCATAATATAGGTCTATATTAGTCCACAATACATTAAACAGTGTGCTGGCTCTTGTACTCTCCAATTAAGGTGAAAGAACATATAACTTTAGTATTTTACAATGCTGTTCATCTAGGTGATATCTATATTATAAAAAATAAAATAAAATAAAATCATATAAATATGTAAAACAAACCCAGTGCCCATTATTAAATAAGATATTCAATAAAAAGCAGACCTTTTAGAATTATTGTTTTTAAAATATATGGATATAATTTAATTGTTATAAAATTAAAACAGTGTGGAAATCAAGCTGTGACAGTCAGACTTGCATCTATGTTAGGTAAAGCAGTTAAGTGCATAACATTCTTTTACAATGATAGAAGTGAAGATTACAAACTTATAATGAACTGCCTATATAAGAATGCATGAAGGAGTTGTGAAATAGAGCTAGAGTGGGAAAAGTAGATTCATATGGCCATGTTTTTAACAAAGTAACAGTGATTTCTCTAGTCATTTGAACAATTGCAACACAGTCCTTGTTTAACAATTACCTCATTTAGCTACCACTTGCAGTTACAATGGTAAAAAGTAACTTACAACCAATCCTCATATTTATGACCTTCACAGATCAGTAAAGCAAAGAAAAATTTTGAAGCACAGTCATAGTTTTGCTTAATGACTGCTTTGCTTAACGACTAAGTTGCTGGCCCCAGTTGTGGTTGTTAAGAAAGGGCTACCTGCAGAGGTGGGTTGCTCCCCCTTCGGGCAAACCGGTAGTAGAGGCAGCAGGAGACTCTGCCGACCCATCCAGATGCTTCTGCATATGTGCAGAAGTGTTGTGCATGCACACAAGCAAACTGGTAGTAAAAAAATTTGAAACCCATCACTGACTACCTGTAGCTCTTGCTATATTAGCTTTCTTAACCTTTAAAAAAAGGTTTTAATGGGAGAAAAAAATGGCCATATGTAATATTCGATGGAAAAGTGGTCATCTGAATCCATTTGTCATTTTTGTACTTTTTTTTCTAATTATTTCAAAAATTTCAGAACTCCTTTCTGATTGCAATAATAAAATAATGATAGATTAACATTGGTAGAACATCAAAGAATTCATAATGACATCAGTGATATTTTCTGTAGCTTCCAGTGGAATTTCCATGTAAATTATTCCACCTGAAAATGTAATGTTAATGTTCCACTAATTATGCAATCAGATATTTGTAAGTGAATGGGTACATTTCTGAAAATAAAGACAGATTTACACATCCAAAGGAATCATTGAAGTTTCAAAGCAGGAAAACAGTCTTTACAAATAAAAGGAAAGAGAAGATTCAAAAATATATGCCCATTGAAAATGTAGTGTCTCTAAATAGTCCCAGAAACTATACAATGTAGCTGGTTAAATCCAGCAAATAAGATGTCATGTCTATGATCTGATCAAAAATACCTGCCCTTGTCACTCTTCGGATGTTTCTATCCATTTGTTCACATTGAGAACCAAGGTATCCTTTTTTACACAAGCATTTATTTGGTCGTATGCAGACACCACCATGTCGACAGACTGGATCACACTTTGCTGTAAAAAAAAAAAAGTAAGAGTTGAAATCTTCTGTTAGTATTTGAAGCAAAATATGCAAAGGCAACAATGTCGGTATCATGGGGGTGGTATGAAATTATTTCAGACAACATTTTGAACAATGCACACATTTTGTTACAACGAAAATATATCTTAATGTTTAAAACTAATTCTACATGTTCTGCTTATCTGATGTCATGCAACATATATAATTCAATTTCCTTTTTCTGTGCAGAAGATGTTGCTTTGATCTGCAAGAAACTCCAAGTATGATCATTTATTCATTCTAAAACTAAGTTTTAAAAATGTCAATTAAATATTTAAACAAGATATTTAAGTTTGTTTCAATACGGGCTTTAAGTTCTTTACAGAGGATTAGGACTCAGAAACTCTTGTGAGTGGATATTTCACATGTCTGTTCAGAGATTGATGAATGTATTCCCATACTTCAACATTTATAATCTGGTGCCTTTCAGATGAGACAGGACTGCAGCTCCCAGGATTTCAGCCAGTATGGAAAGTGCAAGGCACATCATTTTGGGAATTTAGGCTGCAGACTTATATGTACTCATGGGGAGTCAATTCTGTTGAGTCCAATGGAGCATTTCTGAGTAGACATTTTGGATTTAAAACTGGGTTGAATGATCTAAGAGTGTCATCTTTGAACATCTTGTTAGAGTGAAATCTTCAGTGCAATATTTGCCTTGTGATTGCAAATTTACCTATGAATGTTACTAAACGAATTCTGAGTTCATAAATCAGGTTTTTTAGTCTATTTCTCTAGAAATTCATTATAAATTTTTTTAAAAAAGAATGTCAGAAATTGTTATTGGCTTGCTATGTTCAGCAATTACTATGAATAGAATACCCACCAGTTCGGCAGAATTCACCTTCCCAGCCTTGATTACAACAACATTTTCCAGTGGGAGTACAATGCCCATTTTGGCAATGCCTTGAGCATTCAGATGTCAATATCTGGGCAGGAAATGCTGTTCTTTTACATTCTTCTGGAATTAAAGGCCTATGGGGAAAATACAGGAAATGCACCTATTTAAATGTCACGATCAAAGATAAACAATTTACATGTATCTTCATTTTTGCAGTCTTCATTTTTATTCTCCAAAACTAAAGCTGTTTAAAATACTGGACCATGAGGCAGTATTTTTGTAAAGTGCAAGAAACAGAAAATTTAATTTTCATTATGATAATCCAGTGTGCTATTTAACAAACATTGCTACTATAGCCAGCAAAAATATTTTTAAAAATGCCAAAAAACCTTATTTTGTCAAAAAGGATTGTTCAAAATTAGGAGTCCTCTGAATATTAGTAAAGCCAACGTGGCACCTTTTAAACTGTATGTAAAACAGCAATCATTATTATAAAAATGATACACATATGAAGATGTATTCCAAATTCATATTGACAATCACATACAGGAAGTTCACACAAGAACACGTATTCACATTGCACACTTTACTCATGCATACTTTTAATTGTGTTTTGATTAATTCTCAGTCCTCAATGTTCACTTGATACATTGAACCATAAACTAACAAAAATGTGATTAGCTCATAAGTGAGCATCTCTCTTAGTCTTCAGGAATGCCTTTCAAATGTGCTTCTCAATGATATAGTCTAGATTTGGAATGTTAGGTAACTCTATGGAATGTAGCCAGAATTAAACAGAAAGTTTTATAGATGAATGTTATAGTTACAAAATAGCAACAGCACTTATATATTGCTTCACGATACTTCCCTCTCTAAACGGTTCACAGAATCAGCATAATGCCCCCAACAATCTGGGTCATCATTGTACTAACCTCAGAAGGATGGAAGTCTGAGTCAACCTTGAGCCAAAAATATTGCGACCATATAATTATTGCACGAAGAGTTAGCTAAAACACGTTATGGGCATTTGTTATGCTAGAACAGGGCCCTCAAACTCGCAGGCTAGATGTGTCACACGCTGGCCACGCCCACATCCAGTTTAGCAAAGAGGAAAAAATCCTGATGCGTCACGTGACACCACTGTGGCACTATGAGTTTGACACCCCTGTGCTAGAACTTCAAATCTCTGGATCTTTGGCAATAAATATATGTAATGCCAGCATATTTGAAGAGCATTTGTTAGAACAAGACTGCTTTAAATCTAATTTCATCTGTCCCTTATCAGAAGCAACTTCATTAAAATGATCATGATCCTAGTTATCCTGGTGGCGAGAAGAAAAATTTCCCATCTTCAAATTATAACAATGGGAATATGTTATGGTATAGAATCACCAGCGGAACATAGAAAAACATCTACTTTTCTCAGAATAAATACAGCCCTCTTTCAGATATTTTTCAGTACATTTGCTTTCTTACTGGGAAGTTTGCCAAGTGCTCATTACTTGATTTACTGCAAGGGAATGAAGTGGGAAGTAAGGAAAAGAACCTTTCCAGCTTTCAGATTTTTTTAAAAAGCTCAGCAGCATATCAAATGTATTCTTATATGGTATACTTGTTCATGACCCCTAGTCTTTAAGCAATTCTGTCATATTTGAAAACTAGCTCTACAGATGAAGTCTGTATCAGTGTTAATAGCTGTGAGGTCAATGCAACTGCTAAACAGTTTGTATTACTGTCAGGGTGGTCATAAAAACAACACCTGCTGTATGAGGCCTTGGCAGCTGGGTCAACAGGCACTGTGGGAATTTATCAATTTAGGGGGCCACTTGCGTTGCACTTTGACGGATGAATCAAGAAAGAACTGGCTGGTGGAGCTAAAGTTGCTCAATTATGTATTACATACTTTATGATAGCAGACGCAGGATTTCCTTGCACGCATCAGAAAATAGGAAGATATAAACAGATAGGTATTTTTGCCTTATAAAGGGAAGGCCGCAGAGCAGTCTATGCAAGAAGAATGGAACATGCAGGGAAGGAGGGAGAGAAATAGACTGTTGCTCTGAAGCTAATTTTGAGCTTACATATTCAAGGAAATTTATTGTGAAAAAAATTCAGTGCATAAAATTAGGCAAGCATGCCAATCAATTATCATTTCATTAAAGCTAAAGTATACTGAAGAATTGCAGCTGACTTCAAGGTTTATTTATATTTTTGTTGAAGGAAATCACCTTTTAAAATTGTTCTTTGTGGATAGCTTTTGCATTAATTTATGAATATATGATTCTCAAATAAGTGCAATAAAAATTAACAAATATTTTAACATATCTTAATATTTTATCTTATTTATTAAAAAGGTAAAGGTTCCCCTTGCACATATGTGCTAGTTGTTCCTGACTCTGGAGTGTGTTCATCTCTGTTTCAAAGCCGAAGAGCCAATGCTGTCCAAAGATGTCTCATGTGGCTGGAATGACTAAATGCTGAAGGCACACGGAACACTGTTACCTTCCCACCAAAGATGGTTCCTATTTTTCTGCTTGTATTTTTTACATGCTTTCGAACTGCTAGGTTGCCGGAAGCTGGGATAAGTAATGGGAGCTCACTCTGTTACGCGGCACTAGGGATTCAAACTGCCGACCTTTCTGATCTTAGCCACTGAGCCACTGTGTCCCTATAGATTTTATTTATTAGTGAACCATATATTCATAAATTTGAATTAGGCTACAGGTCAAGTCAAATCCTTTGATATCTGTAAGAATCAAGTTTAAAGTGTCCCTGAGAGATGGCTGTCTCATCTTTACTTGAACAAATTCAGGAAGCCACTCTTTTGGGTTGTTGTTTTCATTGTCATATTAATTTTATTGCTAGGATTTTTTTCTAACGTTACATCGAAATCTGTATAACTTTAACGTAAATGAATTTTGTGTCTTGCCCTATTAAATGATGGTGGACAACTCTTTTGACCTTCTTAGTGACATCCTTTAAAGCTTTTGAAAAAAGTTTTCCTAATCTACCCCATCTTCTGTTTAGACTGCTCAAAACTAAATATTCTGTGCCACTTCCATTTCCCTTAATAGAACCAAACTCATTCTGAACAATCAGTTCCAGTTTATATGTATCCTTCATAAAATAGAGTGGCCAGATCTGAGCACAATAGTTGAAATGGAGTCTGACTAATGCAAAATAAAATGCAACAATTACACCCAATGATTTGGAAATCATATTCCTTTAGTGTAGTTTAAAATTGTGTTTGATTTTTTCCCCACCTGTATCACACTGGTGGCTTCAGTTTGCAGTCAACCTAAGTTCCAAGTGTCTTTATGGTTTGCTCTGGAATTCTAACCACTGTAAGAGTTATTGGTCTGGAGTTATAAAGATAGGGACAATTTTGTCCTATAATCATTTAAAGTTTAATTAGTTCTCCAGCATTTCTTAGCCATAATATTTAAAAGTTCTGTCACCCCTACTTCTGTTTATTAGAAAAAATTCATTTGGTCCTGGAGATTTAAACTTTACTTTCTATTCCAAAGCTGTATTTCTATCAACCTTCATCTTCAGTTCTGCTCTTTCATCCTTCCTATGACAGTTTCCTGGAGCAATACATGCTTTCTTGCCTTCTTTAACAAAAAGTTGGATTGTTCTCTTTCCTTTGTTACCTTTACTGTTTTGCCTTCTTCACTGAACAGCTGGTATAATATCTTGTCTTTTTCTTTTAACATATCTTAAGAAGTTTTAGTAACATCAGATCATTCTGAGATTTTGATTTCTGACACCAACTCTAGAGTTTTAAGTTACTGTTTATGTTTTTCTTTTGGGATTTGGCATTTTTTCCATTCCATGCATATTTCCTTTCTTGTTTTCAGAGCTTTACTAAGATTTAAACAGCTATATTGGCGTTTTCTGTTGCCTTCTTGCTTTTTTTCTCTCATTGGAATTATTTACATGAACTGAGCAATTTCTCCCACTAACTTTCTCTGCTATAGAATCTTGCTTACCATTGCTATAAATATATTAAGATTACTTTTTCAAAAATCAAAGATACATGTTCTGTTTTAGTTTAATTTAAAAACAATAACTTCAGCATTACATGGTCATTTCAGCCAATATTTCTGCTAGTCTCAATAAGAACTTTCACGTTAATAATCAGTATTAAGTCAAGGATAACTGATATTCTTCTACCTTTCTTCAACCTTCTCTTGGTGAGCCAGGTGTTTGTTGGAAAGACAATGGTTGGTAAATTTAAACAAATCTGAGTAATTATGTTTATTAGGACAACTTAAAAAAATACTCTCAAAAAAAGAAACTTTTAAATAATTTTGAAGCATTATAACATCCAATCTGTGCTATCCCTGCAGAAATATTACTAAATGAAATGGACAAAATATAGTTAATACCTAACCAAATATTATTTAAAAAATTTAAACAGGAAACGTCCTTCTTAAGAGGAAAGGAATGAATGAGCAAATAAAGCTTTAAATAAAAGTAGGGAGAGAGGGGAAAAAAAAGGAAAGGCAGGGTGTGGAATGTGTGGTGTTTATGTTTTTTGGAATGCTGGAAATTTATAGCAATTGGAAAGCGGTAGGTTCCCTAGTTAGTTAGAATTGGCACGTTTCTTAAAATACTTCAAAAATCCGTCTACACATAAAAATAAAGCTAATATATCCTTATACCAGTGGCCTTCTTAATGTAAGGAACATCTTTTCTTATTTTAGGTAGCCTAACAATGTTAATTTGTCTGCTTTCTATAGAGATTACATGCAGGTATGAACACTAAATAAGGAAAAATCTCTGCTGTTACCAGGTACCAGAAATGTATGTTAGAATACATAGAATACTATTGTTTTAAAGGTGTGGGCCATGCTTTTCAGATGGGCATGCTAGCTAAAAATTTGGGGAGTTATACTTTAACATTTTTGAAAAAATCCAGTTGGGAAAGGTTGCTTTGGGATAACAAATGATTATTGTACAGGGCACCATTCATTCCTCAAATGAACTGGGAAAGCTTGGAACTCTCAAATGCTTCTTCAACTTTACCATATACCATATTTTTCAGAGTATAAGATTCACCGGAGTATAAGAAACACCAAGGTTTTGAAGAGGCACTTTAAAAAAAAAAAGGTAGGTAGGTAGAGGGATA